AGACAGAAGGGTCGAGATCCCAGAGGACCTTCAAAGAATACTCCCGGGAGAGTGGGTGTACGTCAAGGTGTTCAAAAGAAAGTGGGACCAACCAAGAAGGGAGGGTCCATTCAAGGTTATAGTAGCAACCCCAACAGCCTTGAAAGTTGATGGTAAGGACTAGAGATGCGCGGATGGCAGTTATAACCGCCCGGTCCGCGGATCGGGCGGGTCGGGTGATAAAAATGAACAATCTGATTAATGGCGGATGGGTTATGGGCGGGTGAAAATAATAGCCTAATAATAACTTTTATTTAAATCGCACCCTTTAAAAACAAAGTTTACAAATTGCTTTGACAAACATTAATGAGGGGAAAATGTATTGCATGCTCTAAAATGTGAACAACACATTTTAATATTTATATTTAGTCAGGCACAATCTAGCCGGCGGCCAGACTCTCATTGAGCCTAATTGAGGACCCCTGTGTATGGACCAGAGCACCGGAGCATGATGGAGGGCGCCAAGGCAGTTCGAGAGAAAATTAAAAAACGAGAGCTTAAAACCAAGACAAAGGAAGGGCAGAAAAGTTCAGTGTGGGAGGGATTTAGCGTAGTGCTTAACAATGACGACTCAAGTGCTGGATATGCAATATGCAACGGCTGCGAAGCCATGTATGTATATGATAGCCACAAAACAGGTACCTCGAACATGAAACATCATGTGTGTGATAAAACAAAAACAAGCAGGCCGAGTCCGAGAAATACCTTAAACTCATTCATCCGCCGAGACAGCAAAAGAGTAGTCCCACTGGAAGTTAGATCCAAGTTAGTGGACGACTGCGTGGATTTGTGCTGTGTGGATATGCGCCCATTTGATATTGTCATCGGCAAAGGATTCGCCCAGGTGGCCCAGAGACTAATCACCATTGGAGCTCAATATGGTGCCGTTGACACTGATGCCATCCTTCCCCATCGGCAAACTGTGTGCGACAGGGCAAAGCTACTGGCTGCTACAGATAAGGAGAAACTATCTGAACGCATCCAAAAAGTGATGGAGGACGGCGGAATAGCTGTTACCACAGATATGTGGACAGACGAATTCAACAAGAGAGCATACACAGTCCTAACATGTCACTACATTAACGAGAAGTGGCACCTGGAGAGTCACATCCTGGCTACAGTGGAATTTGACTGTCTTCTCAAAAAGACTGGCGAAAATATCCATGACCAAATACCAAACCAAATAACAACTGCGCTGATGAATTACGGAATATCTCCGGACAAGGTGGTTTTTGTTAGTGATCAGGGCCCAAACATAAAGTCAGCACTTCGGTCCTACCACTGGATCCCGTGCACCGCACACATACTGAACACGGTGCTGAGACACACCTTCTGTGAGAAAAATGCAGCGGAATGCATCAAAGATGTGGTGGAAATGTTGGATACCTGCAAAAGCCTCGTCACATTTCTTAAGAAAACAGGGGCTGTTGCGAGTTTGGCGCACACTGTGATCCAGGAGTGTGAAGTTCGCTGGAACAGCAAAGTCAACATGCTGGAATCTGTCCTGAAACACTACG